GTTGAATATCAAATTTCGTAATTATGACCCTCCCCTTAATCATGTTAAAATTCCTACTTCAGAAAACCTTTCCAGCTCAATGACGTGCTATTGATCTCAAGCACGTACCATTGAATTAATCATGGCTTCTATAATATTTGAATAATATACAATAAATTGATACAAAAGGCGATTTTCACATACCTATAATTTTATTGTTACGATATTTAAGTAACTAAGGTAATATTAATCAACTCCCCTGATGTAAAATTATTCAAAACGTTATTAATAATGAAGTCGGTTTCGAAATCTCCAGCGAACGCACGGCAGGAGTCATAAAAAAGTGGGAGAGGGAGGAAGAAAATTATTATTTTATTGAAGGTTTAATTTGAGAAGAAGAGAGAACGTTACGATAACAAATGATTATATACTATGTCAATCATTCCATGCTTGTGCAAGTCGTCGATCCCTCATTATTAATACCATTCGCAATTTTACAAAGGATTTTATCCATAAGTAAAATTATTAAATGTTAATAAGATTTACAAGTTTTGAAACAACAGCTAGTTAACGAGAAGCACAACGTACTCAATTTTCTTGACAAAAAAATTTGCCTCTTCCAACTCGTTAGTTCCAAAAATGATTTTGTCGTAAAGATTGCAGTTTAGCATGTGATAATTAATGCATGAATTTTCTATTTAAATTATTCAAATGAACTTTTGTAGCAGATCAGTAAACTATAGATAGAAACATTATTTTTTTTTTTCGGACATTAATGAGGCTGCATAAAGTTACTATCCAAGCCAAGTGGCAAAGCCATCAAAGCCAATTAGCAAATTATATGGCAAAATTTGATAGGGCCAATTTGCAAAAAGCTAAGCAGCTAAGCAAACAAATTATGTTGCAAAATTGATTCACAAAGCCAAGTGGCGAACCCTGAAATAGTAAAGTTGCTTTAAATAAATCATCAATTTCTGAAATCAGTTTACATTCCTTATTCCGTTAATTGTAAGACCTTCTGCATAACTTGTCATAATTATTTAAACAACAGATAAACTATTTTTCATGATTCTCTCTTCTCTCTCTTCTCTTTTGTAATAATTTTCCTGAAAATGAGAATCAATAAAAATTGGATGTTACCATACTATATGAGTATAGGATAAAGTCACAATCCCATCCCATCCCAAATCCCATTCCTTAAACTAAAACTTTAACAATTAATATCATCATATATTTTGCGAGTCTATCAAATATATCTAACCTTTTTTAATCTAAAACAAGTTTCTCTCCAAGTTTTATCATAACAATGTTGACAATATTAAAAAATCTATTCAAGTATTTCAATTAATGATATAATTTAATGATATTTAGTTCATTAGCTTCATTTTTATGGGAAGATTCAAATGATTATTATTTTATTTTGTAAGTGAAATATTGATTAAAATATACTTAAAAATATATTCTATTATAAATTAAATGTAACTAAAATAGAATTTTATTGTATGAAATATGGGCAGCAACTATAGGAAAGATATCAAGTGGTAAAGATTTGTTATTTAATCTTGAGTATTGGTTGAAGATCTCTAAACCAATTTACCTTTGTTATTTAAATATTGTAGCAAAATAGTATAGTTATTTATTTAACATACTTTTCTAGCAGAACATAGCTAATCAAAAAGAATAAAAGTATTTTTAATACACAAAAGAATTAGAAGTATTTAAATACACTATATTAAAGGATATTTGTTAAAAATTATATAAGATAATATTGTTCAATCTAAAATTATACTGAAATTAAGCTAATAACTAAATATCTTAAGATCTCAATTATCTTAAAAGCTTTTTTAAAGAGAAATAAATGATTAAATTATAATAATTTATTAATACAATTCACTTGCGTAGTTAGTTATCATGATCAGATTCTTGTATAAAAATAAGAAAAAGGTTAAAAATGTAAATAATATTTTTATTAAAACTGTAGAGTTAAAGTCTAATTTTAAAATTTATATTTAAAAACTTTCTTAGAAGAACTCTATCAACTTAAGGTTAACTTACAGATCTATTTATATAAAATTCTTTACTATATTACTTTTTCAATTTTAATAATACATGTAATGAAAAATAAATTATTCAATATATGTTAACAAAAATAATTCAAATTTTACAATTATATGTATTATAATAATACTGCAGTGTAAGATCATTTTAATGTAGTATTATTTGTAATTAATATTATAAATAATGTAATGGTATATATTAGTAATTTTGTCATAATTAATTTATCATTTTAGAATGAAAATCATTCTCTCAAGTTGAAAGTTTTTTAAATCAAAAGAAATTATTGATATTAATAACAAGATTTTAATAATTATATAAAATTAAAGAATTTTCTTATATTAGAAACTTTAAATAATTTTTTTGAACAGAATTATGAAATAAAAGATGAACAAATAGTAACAATTAGTCTATTCTGTATATTAATCTTATAAATATGCAAGTTAAAATATAATTTATAATATTATTTTTATGAAATGTAATATTACTTCAAAATATATTTGAAGCTGAATATTATTATTCTAAAATATATTATTGATCTATTAATATCACAAAAAAATCTGCTTAAATGATTCTCTGATTGATTTGAAATCCAATTCAAATTTTACAAAATAATTCTCTTCATACATTCTTGTACTTTATCTTAAGATCTTAATAATAATATTCAAAGTCAATTTTATCAAATAAATAAGATTTTTAACAAAATTTTACAATCAGAATTTAATAAGCAGTGATTAGATAATAAGATTAATGATCTACAATGTTCAGATAAAAATGATGATTTAATAATTTTAATCATATAAATCTTATACAAAACTTTACCAATTATATAAATACAAGTATTTTTTCTTATTTGAATTATTAATTTTTTATAGTATTATAACTTTTACTAAAAACAAGAAATCTGCTTTAAATTTGTTTGCATCAGAAATGAAACAATTAAATTCATTTATGTATCTATATGTACAAGCTATTCTATAGTATATTTTATTTATAACTTACAAGTATAAAAAGATAATAACTCAAAATTATAAATAAGAATATATAGACTGGTATAGAATATTTAAAATCTGCAAATAAATATTAATTTTAGGCTATAAATTAAAGATAAGAAAAAATAACAGATATTATAAAAATCTCTAATTACCTTCAAGATATTTTTATAAGCATAATTAAGAATATACAATATGTAAAAGATAACAATCTAAAAATCTTATCATTATTAGTATCAAAGTTTGAAATTTTAAATACATTATTTATTTATTCATAATTAATGATAATTCTAATATTGGAATAAATTCTGTCTCAATGAAGTAGATAATGCTAATATATTATACATTTTTATAAAAATGTGAGATTTCATACTTTTTTTACAATGTATTATAAGTATTCTTTTATTACAATAATTACATTTACATATTATTAATATTAAATTATAAATTTAAATGTTAGCTTAAAAAATTAAGAATACAAAAAGTTTATTAAGATTTTAATAGACTAAAGTAGTAGATAATTTATAGCTTATAAATACATTATTATTTATAAATGATAATATAATTATGATTAAAGTACATTATATAAATAAAGAAATCTTTAGTTTATCACTACTATGAGAAATTGCTAAACATAATTATTTCAAAATTTTGTATTACTCAATTATTTCTTGATTCACATTATAATATTTATAATACTGTTAATTTATCTACTTTTTTTAAAAATATCATGATATTTTATTTGAAGAGATTGCAAATAGTAGTATAATATTGAAAGATGCAGAAGATTATTAGAAAATAAAATATTTTAATACTAAAATTTTTCACTTTGTATATTCTTAATATTAATAGAATATATTTAAAAAATTTTTGAAATATCATGCTGAGTAAAATTAACTGTTAAAAAATTATAACTTTTTTATTTAATAATATAAAATGATTAATAATAATTATAGTCTTTAAAGTTTATGCTAGTTATTGAGCAAAGAAAGAGAATTATATTATTAAGAAGCAATACATTTATTCTCAATTATTTATCATCAAAATGTTTATTTTAAAAAACAAAAACCTGCTAATATAGTTCATAGTTTAAATTTTTGTATTCTTTAATTTTATTAATGGTAGATTAATTTTATTAGATAGAAATGTTATGATAAAGATAAATATTATGATAAATAGATTTATCAAAAGATATAAATTATTATAAAGGAGCATATTATATAGTAAGTTTCAAAACTTATAAATTTTAAAGTATTATAGAAACTTATGTTATTGTAATTATCTATTCTTTATTTAAAAATATAAAAAATTCATTGCCAATAATATTAATTATTACTAAATAATAAGTATTTTTAGAAATATAAATTAGTTTAATTATTCTAATAATATTAAGATTAGAAATTTTATTTAAAAAAGAATAATCATCAAAAATTTTAGTTATATTCTGAAGTCTTTAATATCTTAATTATATATAATAGAAGGATTACTAAGGAAATCAAACTCTGTGAATTTTTAACAAAATTTTGTTTTTTATTATATTTCAGTTTTTGATGTTATTAGATTAAAATGTAATAAGGTCTTAATTTTAGTCAAAAAAATTCCCTGAGCTTGATTTCCTAATGAACTTTTATATATTTATTTTTTATATAATACCCTTTAATGAGTGTAACTTAATTTTTTTACTATTTTTGTACATTAAGAAATTTAGAACATAAATATATAAAAATAAATATTTGAGAAATAAATATATAATAAGTTATAAATAAATAAGTGCTTCCATATTTTTAAATATATTGATAGTGCTGACACTGCATATGAAATAGGGTATTCAGAATTTGTTAATCATGATTTTTTAATGATTTTGGCCTTTTTTTTTGCAATTTTAGTATGATTACAATTTTTAGTATAATTTTGTGATTTTCACACTATTTAAATTTGATTGGATGAACTAAATTTTTTTCATTAAATTAACTTCTAACTTTTACGTAAATAAAATGATTGCTTCTCATATACACTTAGCACAAAATGTAAAATATCGAGAGAATTATATTTTACAAGGCAGTTTATTATAGTATCAATTTTGCAATATAGAAGTTGATCATAAAAGAAAGGACTCTGTAAATAAATATTTAATTACAATAAAATGTTTAAATAATAAAAAGCATAGAAATGATTCTCCTTTGATAATTCAAAGAACTTTGCCATTATTTAAAATACATTAAATAAAAAAGAAAAATTAAACCCTTTTTTATTAAAGCATTATAAAAATGGTATAAAGTGAAATTATATTTATATTTTAAATTTTTAATATTTTTATTATTAATAATAATTTATTTGTAGGAAGTTTAATTACTAGAGCAAATCAACTTCGTAAAAAGTTTTTTCCCTTATCATATGATTTAGAAATTCAAAAATTCAAAAATAAAATTATTGATAAACTTATTTGTTTAATAATTGATAAAACAACAGAGTGTTATGGTTGACATACTGTCAATATTTTGTTTAGTTTTATTAATCAAATCAAATTAGCTAGAACTGAATTTTATATAATGTAGATGCTATTTTTATTTCTCAATTTGTAATGAATACACTTCATTTTTATAAAATTCCTTATCAAAATATTATTTTTTTATAACAGATAATGCCTCTTATATAAAATTAGCATATTCTCATTTAACTTCTTTTTTACTAAATATAAAACAAAATTGTTGTTTAGCACACATTCTTAATTTGATTAGAGAGACATAGATTGATTTTAAACTGTTTGAATTAGTTGATAAATTAGTTACAAATTTTAAAGTAATATTTATTTATAATTCATAAAGAAAAATTCGTTAGAAAGAATATTTACTGAGGGGGATAAAAATATTGCACAGTTTTATTTTAGCAATAAAATTTTTTTATTAGGATAGCAGATCATTTTTTTTTATATTTACAAATAACACATCAATATTTAGTATGTCCTCCTTTAGCATCGATCATTGCTTAAATTCTATTTGCATTGATTACATCACACTTTTTGTGGTATCACTTTCCAAACCTTTTTTACTACCTTTTCAAGTTTATGAATGCTTGATGACTGAGGGTTATATTTTTAATTTCTACCTTAACTATAACCTACAAGTTCTCAATTAGGTTGAGATTAGGACTTTGAGCAGGCTATGGAAGCATCTCTACATTTTGAGAATGCAAAAACTTTTGTGTAATCTTTAATGTGTGAACTGATGCATTATCTTCCTGAAAAATGAATTTTTTTTTGTTTGCCAGGAAAATGCTTTGAATATGAGAATCACATAAGTGAAAAGCATCTCTTTATATACATTTTCAGTTACTGAACCTTCAAGTGGAATAATGAGACCTAATTTTAAAAGGAAAGACATGTCTAAAACATTCTTTGAGAAGAATGTTTTACCATTGATGCAATGCAATCTTCATTAAATTTTTCTTCTGGCTTTCTTCACACTCTTCCCCATCCAGTTTTTCAAAATTGTAAAATGTAGACTCATCTGTTCAGATTATTTTTTTTCAGTCTTCTATAGTCTAATTTCTTCTTTCTATTCCCATACAATTCATTTGTATTTGTTGATTTCTGAAATGAGAGGCTTCTTTTGAGGAATACAAAAATACACATTTTTCTTGTAAAGTGTACGACAAATTATTTTTATAAAAACTGGCTTATTAATTTTAACAGAAAATATATTACTAGATTTTTCATCTTAGTTCTTTATTTTTGAGAACCATTACCTTCAATCTTTGCCTTTTTAGCTTCAATCAAATAGGAACAACTTAGTTATTTTTTAGAAGGTGCTTCTGATTTATAAGCTGCAAGACACCTTGTAGCGGCTGTTTAATGATATTCTATAATTTTTGCAATCTTAATATTATTGTGATCTAATTTTTGGCTATAATAATACCTCTCTTTATATAGGAGTTAATTTTTTAGCAAAATCCATCACATGCGTAAAGTTGAAAATAGTAGAGATTTCAATCCAATTTTTGTAATTTTTAACATATTAAATCAAAACAATAAACAAATATTCTATTTAGGAAATATATAGCAAATATAGTATAAAAATTACATAGTCAGTTATATATTAACAATTTATTAAATTGGGTAAATTTTGATCATGCAATATTTTTATCTCTCTCTGTATTACAAAATAATATTGAATTCCCTACTTTAGCACCATTGCCTATAAAAACAAGATGAAATTCATGGTTTTCTTTTTTGTATTGGATTAAACCTTTATATTCTCATATAATTACATTTATTAATGCAGAATATAATCTCAACTATAATTTAAAAGCTATCTAATACCTTTATAACTTCTGTCAAAACCAAAATTATGTTTTATATGTTAAAATTTTTATATGTTTTATTATATATAATTGTAATAGATAAGAAAGATTTAATAATTTTAATCAAATTAATAACTTTATTAATTATTTAAAAAATTTTTAATTAGGTTAGTTAAGATTTAAAATTCTTTAAAATATGAAATAAAGCAATAGCTCTATTTGTTTATTCAAGAATAGTTTGTCTTTAAGCTTTTATTTTATCAGGAAAAAGGACTCCTCCAATATCAAATGAAATAGAACATATTTTTATTGAAAGAAATTGTGACAGGAAAGTATTTATTACATTATTTTTTCAGGCTTTTGGGTTGGCTTAAGAAAAATGAGAAAAACATCTCTCTTACCATTCAGCTTAATCATTATTTAAAGCAATACAATGCTTGGATCCAAGATTTATTCAATCTAATATAGCAAATATAAATATGATAGATTATAGTATTATTAAAGAGTTTCATTCTCCTACTAATAATTTGATTTAAGAATGGGCCATTTATTGTGGTTTCAATGAATTAGATGAGGAATTTGTAGACTTAAATATATATTAGCGTAGTAAAAGACATTTATTACCAGAACTTAGTGCATTAGCATTAATATATATATGGTTACCAGTATCTGATATTGATATTGAACGTAGCTTTTCTAGCTATAAAACAATTTTGTCAGATAGAAGAGTGGCACTTAAAAAGAAAGCATTCAAATGCTTAATTTCTTTATATTAATCTAAATGAAAATATCGATTATTAATGAATAAAATATTTTTTTGAATGGTTAATTGTAATATTTTATATTTTATATTTATTTTATTATAATAAATTTGGTCAATTTACTAAAAATTATAAAATTTCAGCTAGAATTATAGTTGCGATTTTTTCACGATAAAAATCGTAAAATCACATGCGATTTTTAGGCTGTCACGCTATTAGTAATAATCTGTTTGCGCCACTAAATGACTACGCCAACTAACGTCACCAATAATTACCAGAAAAATCGTGATCATCATTTTTACTGCTATTACAGTTATCATTGTGATATTTATTTTCTTTATTATTATGTTTATCATTATTTTATTTACTATATTTATTTTCATAGTTATATTTATTTTCACTATTATATTTATTATCTATATCTTATAATTGTATTTTATATAAATATTCTGTATTGTCTCCTTGACATACTAACAAGTTTCAATTGTATAATTAATAAAGTATAATCTTAATAACATAAAAACTATATCTTTGTCAATATCTATTTTCTTAAAACATAAATCATCAATAAAGATGGCCTGACCCTTCAACTTAAATAAATTCGTATTTATTTCTTTTATAGTTTACAACTTAAACGTCCTGTTAGCAAATAAGCTTTGTTATCCTAATAACATAGTGTTTATGCTTAACAACGGTGACAAGTATACAAATTTTTTATAAATAATTAAATATTAATAAAATAATAAATTATAAATTTTGTAATATTATAATAAATTAATTATATAAATTATATATAACTAAGTAATAAAACTATTAGAGCATGTAAAGTATAATAGCCATAGTATATTCTCTGTTACATAATCAATATTGTGTTATGATAATCAAAATTATACATAACTGTAATGTTAAATTAAATTAAACAGATTGTATAATTATGCCATAATAGATTGAGATTATCCTTAAACATTTTTAACACAATAAACTTAAGAAACTGAAAAAATTTCAACAAAATTGGTAATTTATTTTTATTTTTAATTTTTAAATATTTATATCAAAGAATATTTTGAGAAATCATAGAAATTAAACATCTTTCTTCAGCTAATTTCTCTTGCAGTCTCTTAAAAGCTTTAACACATTGAAGTCTTTCAAATGAAAATAGACTAAAAATGATATTTTCAAAAGTACAGACACAGGATATTGCTATAAATAATAGACTAGCAGCAAACTTCTTTTTACCAAGATCTATAATGGTCTTTTACATCATCAAACTTTGACTTTTATGTTCTGTGATAGCTCATGTAAGATAAATAGGAATTTGCAAGCATGAGCAAGAACCTTTTTTTCCTTTTCAGGTATATTTAATGGGTATAATCAGAACTAATTTTTTACCTTTAGCAGTCTTAACAGTAGGGTTAGAATAATTATTAAATTCTATTAGAACTGCATTAGGAAGAGAAAGAGGATCCTGATTTTTTTTGATAATGATCTCTTCAATGATTCTTACTAAATCATTAACCAAACCTAGATTCAGTCCATAAGTTAATCCTAAGCATAACTTTTGCATCTCTTGCCAATAGTAAGCAAGATTTAAGCCTTTTTGCAATATCAGAATCTGCTTTACGTACTTTACTACTACCTGTATGAATAGCATTTATCATAGCTATAGAATAATTTAAAGATGAGAGCTTATTTAAATTAAATTTATCTATATCAGATTTCTGAAAGATGATGCATTATACATTTGAAAAGTGATTATAATCCAAAGACAAAATGGTTGATGAATCAAAAAAATGTGTAGTTAGCAAATTTCAATTATCTTTAGTAGATTTTCCATCACATAAATGTAATAGAAGTAATCTGAATTTACGTTGCTCTTCTGAATCACCTAACTGGTGTTGAATAATGTCAAGTTTATAAACCTCTCAGAATTGAGAATAAATTGAAATTCCATTACTTGATAGTGAATCATGTCAGGAAATTTGTGAGTATATAGGTTCATCAAGCATAGAAAGAAGTTGACTAAAGTCATTGACCAAAATAAGAGAGTGATCATCAAACACTTAATTTTAATGCTCAGAGAAGACTTGATATAATCGAATGTCAATTATGGTAAATATGTATCGCCTAACTATGCTTTTTTCGTCA